AAAGTCACAAAATTTGTTTAGATAACGCACCTATCTTTTTAGAAACTTTTTGAGCCATTAGTAATGGATATTCTTGTATCCTTATTATTCATATTTTTATTACCAAAAAATCAATTTGATCCTTTAACTTAGGTTTCCAAGGAATCCTCGCCTTCCTGTGGATTATTGATTTAATAGTTTCTATACTTTCAAGGTTACTAAGGAAAGAGTTCATCGTCATATCATAAATAATGATAGAAAATATATTACACTCAAGAAACTAATCATTAAAATGAACAATAGTTTCAATTAAAAATTGCTTACAAAAATAATAAAACAAATAATGATTAAATAAACCATTAAATAATAATAAATAAACAAAGCATGTATTTTCGATAGTCAATAAAGTGAATTGTTTTTGTGTTATTAATCTACGACCATATATGAAAGTCATATTTATGTCGTTTTATTTAGTTTTATGAAATGTGCTCTGTATCAGACGTGTAAGTATAAATAAGTACATACCTTCCGCCCAAGTATGGAAATAGTATATTACATTACGAGTGTGGAAAGTGACATTTTTCACACGAGTGGGAAATATTGTCGCACAAGGCGCAAGCCGAGTGCGACTATCACACGAGTGTGGAAAATCACTTTTTACACAAATGATGTACAATATTTTTCCTACGACCACAAAAAAATGTCATCAAAAAAATGTAAAACCAAGGTTATTATTACTATATTAATTAAAATGTATTTAAAAAAATAATCAACAATAATCGTATTTATTCAATTTTCATATTTTCATATTTTCTAAACAAAAAAAAAACTAAAAAAAAAAATAAAAAAAAAAAACAAAAAAAAAAAAATTCTGCCCCGCCATAATTCGAACGCGGTCGAAAAATGGCAAAGTTATAAGTTCGACGTCCTAACCACCTGAGCTAATAGCCCTTGTCTCAATTGAATGATCTAATCGGTTATGTATTTAACCACAATAAAGAGCAACACTATTTTAAAATTATTTTAATAATAATTGATAAAGATAAATATCTAGGATCTAATTTACAACGATTTCAATAATTTAACAATCATATCGATTTTAGTATTAATATGGACATTACATAGATCAAAATAGAAATTAGGTGTTTGACATTTTGTGACAACTACTGCGGAAAGTAACATATTCTCACTCGAGTGGAAAGTAAATTCTTATTCATACGCGTGTGATATAGGGCACTTTCCATAGGACTATATAGTGTGATATGTGTCACATTCCTAAGTGGTCGTAGGAAAATAACCTATCAAGCTGTTATAGTAAATGTAAATATTATTTTTTTTATATCAGAATCCCTTGGGCCACTCCATCTGTTATTTAATTTAAATTAGAATATTTATCTTCCTGCCTGATTTTGAAAAACTTAGATATATGGTGTTTTATACTCTCATTGAGAGCACTTTTTTAGTATGTGAACCAAACCTTTATGCCTGGTCAAACGCTTGTTTTCTTCAAGGACATGCTCTATGATATATGTGATTCTATGTACTTGGTTAACAGTCAAATGTTTCCTATTGCTCCACATACTTTGATTAATCATCCGCTCTGCTTCGGAATTGTCGGTTTTCTTGTTTTAATCTGACAGGTTAAAACGACTAAACCGACAATTCCGGAAGCAGAAGCGGATTATTAAAACGCACCTGATATTTTGCTTGCTGCTGTCAGTGTCAGTGAATATTATTTTTGAAGTCACAGTTTATTGCTAAAGAATCAGTTAGCTCACTCGGACCAGTTGAAAGTTCCAAAATAACATCCACTCCAGGGATACAAATTCAGGATACGCAGAAGTCTGCTGTTTTATTATAGGCGGTTGTCATATATTATATTATCTGAGTTACGCAGTGTATAAACTGGAACATTGAGATAAAAAGTGCCGACGCAGAGTGAGCGATCTGATTCTTTAGCTATAAACTGTGTCATAGGGTTCAAAATGGCCGCGCCCTATGTTGGGCGTATCGGACCTCTCTCTTGCCCCGTATAGTAATCAAAGTATGTGTATTGCCCGCATTGCATATCAGCACTCAATTTTTTATCTTCTGTAAGAGGTCTTAATCGCTCTAGCAGTAAATTCTCGAATGATTCTAACATAATTGGTAAGAAAGAAATAGGTCTATAAGACTTCGTCGTTCGACGATTTTCCTGTTTTTGGCATATTTTATTTACTCTACAACTTTCCAGCAGGCAGCTTAATTAAAAACGTATGTCAGCATGACAATACATTTTCTAGGCAAATATTTCAAGATTTCACCAGTAAATATATCGAATCCTGGTGCTTTCTTTGGATTAACGTTAGTGTTAATCTCTTCTGTTACTTCTTTCGGTGTAACAAAGTCTGCTTTCTTTTTATTGTTCCTGGCCATTATATCTTTTGATGGGAGGGACAAAGCTTAGGTATTTTAATCTTTCTAGTAACTTTCCATAGAGAGCAATCTCTCTTTTCATTTGCGAGATGTCCTGTATTTGTCTATCTATCTAAATTAGGACGTCGTTCAAAGCTCACTCGTACTGATGCACTAGGTTTATTGTACCCCTCACAGTTTTTATCCTATCAGGTTAATATTAATAATATGTATTCCAGATTGATTCGCTGTGTATTTCCCTATTTTTCGGGCTTTTGGCCCGTTCTGGTATTTGAATATCAAAAGGTTTCTCAAAGTCATAAATAATAGGTGTTCTATCCGATGGCATTCTTAACACCGAATTTTGTTTAAATTTCTCTAATATCATTGTATGGTGTCCTTTTCTCGAAAGTTTCCATCCAAATCCATTAGTGAACAGCCTATATGCCGCCCGCAGAGTGTAATGGAGGAGAACACCTAGTAGTAGCTCCATTACTGCAGTGGCTAGTCTTTGTAGCTTGTCTAATTTTCCGTTATAGCTATTATGCTTTTAGTCTTGTGCCACCATATGACTGATGAATAAGTTATAACAGGCACTACAACCATAGTATGAAGCCAGTGCATCATACTTGCTATAAGCCCCATGTATTGCCTACCATCCGTCTACAGGCCCACATTATTCTTACAGATTTTTCTGTTATTTTTCTCTATATGGCTGCAGAAGCTAAGTTTGTCCTCAAGAGTGATTCCAAGATATTTAACCACCTTTGCCATTTTTAGATGTTGTTCCCACATATAAAGCTCTTTCTTTCCTTGAAGGGTCCTTTTTCTTGTGAATGCAACAACAGAGGTTTTCGTTAGGTTTATGGACAATCTGTCTTTTAAGTACCATCTTTAGTCGATTTTGCAACCACAGAACTGGGCTGCAAAAAAGAATCCATCATATTTGCAACTAGTGATGCCCCGACACGAGAGAAAATACAGTTACTCTCAATTGGGTCCCGAGACATAACGGGGTACAGGGTAACGATATTGCAGGTAGTCCTGCAAGAAAAGGGGCTCAAACACCCTTTGTGGGACCTGAGCCGTTCTGCGGTAATACAATATTAGGAGAGATTAAATAAGAATTGGGTAGTAGAAGAACCGATAATTGGAACAATCTCTTGGGACTAAGACAGGCTAAGATACTACTGTGTAAATATAATCAGGAAAGATCGGAAGCCTGTATCTTCCTGAGTAAGAAGAGGCTACGTATTGTAACAGGAATCCTTACTGGGTATTGCTGACTCAAAGGACACCTTAGTAAACTGATAATAGTAGAAGATAGTGAGTGCATATTCTGTGAGGAGGAGGACGAAACCTCCATTCACATTCTAACTGAATGTGAGGCACTCCAAAATTCAAGGGTACTATACCAAATCAAAAAGGGAAGCCACTCAAAATCCTACACTTCCTTGAGAAGATAGGATTGAAAGGGACGTTATAGGTATTATAACATTTCCATGCTGCGTTAGTGACAGAAGGGGGGACACACTAGATCTTTTGAGTCGCAGTGTATTAACACCACATTTTCAACAAAACATAACACCTAAATTAATATTGTGGTACTGATTAAGAGTTTTATTCATTCTTTAAATTTTCAAAAACATCTTTAATAACGGCGACTAACAAATTGGTTAAAATTCCTAAAATATGCGCTAAAACAAATAATTGGTGAGTAATAATAACATGCAATACATTTTACATGATTGTGATAAAATTTGCAAAGATATGCTTTGGCAAAAAAACACTTTCATTACGTGTATCATTGTCAATATTAGGATGTGTATTTACAGTGGCATGTCTATGTCTATTTTTGGATAATGATAAAAGATTACAAAGGCTATATATGCGCAAATTAAAAATCAATATGTCTCAGTTTATGGTTAAAATTAGGACATCTCTATGTCGAATTAGATGAGCTACGAAATAATAATACTCCTTTTACAGTTACCAATAATAATATTCAAAATAATTTAAAAATTATATTACTATATTTTTCTAAATATTATTTTGTGTTTAAATTGTAAAATATGTTTGGTGTAATTCTCAATTAAAACTAAGATTTAGGTCCGCATTAAACAAAACCGTGACCACTGTCCTAAAGAGACGAAAGGTCTGTAAAAAATTTGATATTACAGTCTTATAAATCGTATCGTGTATATCAAAAAGTGTTTATAACATTTTGAAAAATAAAAAAAGAAAAAATAAATAATGAAAATTTTTGGTTTTATAGCAATTGTTTCTTAGATATTAGTTCTTTTCCAAATATTTGTACTATATCATGTTATATATCTTAGATAATATTTAAACACTAATATAATTTTTCTGTTCATCTGATTTTTATTTTAGAATTTTTGAAATTTTTAAAAAAGTTGTTTTAGTTTAGATTTTAAAAATGGATTGGATCATTTTAACAACTATACCAATATTGAATATTTAATGGTCAACGCAAGTTTCTAAGACTATATCAGCATCTTCAGGAGATGGTTTATCACTTGTAAAACTCCTAACTAGTTTATAAAAGTGCATGTTTATTTTAAACTGTAATAATAGTGATTTATAATTATATAAATGAATGTACCAACCTCTAGTAAGTTCGTCACCAAAATATCACTCTTCGTGTCACAAAACTTTACAATTTCTAAAAATTTAAACGTGTAATAAAGCGCCAGCCCCTGTTTTACCGGTATACAACGGAAAGTAAAAGTAGAGACGCGATTCTCGCTTGTTTTTCCGTGGTCGTGGTGTGTGTTTCTATGCGCGATTGTTTCACTGTACGCTTTGAAATCAAGACTGCGGTGTCCAATGCGACTCGATTTTATCCTTCCTTTTTTATGGAGGACTCGATCTTAGCAGCGGCGCCTGAGTTACAGTACTTCTCGTCAATAATAAAATTAGCGAATAAACAAATATTATACATAAAAAATGACTCGTGCTCGCACAGATTGGCGATTATCTAGCCTATATAGACAAATTCGCAGACATTCATTTGGTATCCTTAAAATATAAGGTTATCCCATTAAAATAAAATTAAGTTTCTCTACCAAAAATGCTGGAATAAATTGGCGAATTTTATAGTAGGTATTTAAGTATTTGTAACGTATAGATGGTGAGTTACCCCACGGCACTTAGGCCTCACTAGGCCCATTGCGCATCTTCCTAGGACGATAGGTTCCTTGTAGCTCGTAAGCTGTGTTGCCAGAATATATTTTTGTAATGTACCAGATTTATCTAAAAAATGTACCAGATTTCATAAAAATGTACTAGATTCTATAAAATTACCAGATTTTTCTAATTGTGAAGTATGGTCTTTAAAGACAAAAAACGGTTTATAGAGAACAAGAACACAACAATTTAAACAATATTTAATCTCTCGACAAATTTCTGAAAGATTTAATAATAAAACAAGACTACAAATTTATTCCACCTTTGTAGTATGTCATAAACATTTTGAAGAGAAGTATAAAGTAGTTGGCTCTCGTCGAGGTCTAACACCTGAAGCATTTCCAACGCTATTCCTACCAGCAGTTCCTAGAAGAGTAGCGGATGGACTTTCCTCAAATAACGTAGAAATTGAATATGTAGATCAAACACCTTCTACTTCAAGTAAAGGTTCGAAGAAGAAGCAGACTAATAATATATGTTGGACTTCTTTTCGAGAAGGAAAGTTAGTAATCTACTCATTTATTTTATACTTATACTGTTATTTTCTGTTTCATGACATTTGGGGTTGCAAAGCTGTATCGTAGAAGAAGAAGCAGACTAATAATATATGTTGGACTTCTTTTCGAGAAGGAAAGTTAGTACTCTACTTATTTATTTTATACTTATTGCTGTGTTTGAGAATCCACATCAGATGCATTTTTTACATCTCGAGCGTTTTTTTATCCACATACCTATATATAAAACCTTTATTTAGTCAAAAAAACTATTTTTTACATGTCAATACATTTTCACGTTTAAAATATAAAAAATACATAAATATAGAATCAACATACATTTAAAATGCAATAAAAAATACATAAGATACAGTACACTTACATGTCAACTATACAAAACAATAAAAGAACAAGAAAGAGAAAAAAAACGTCAATAGGTGAACAGGTATTCACGCAGTTTTATTTTAAATATTGCCACATTTGAAGAACATTTAATATCCTCAGGCAAATTATTAAAAGCCTGTACATCTTTAAAAAACACTGAATTTTGTGTACATTTTTCTTATTACCTGTTTAGGTTCATGAATATCCTGATTATAACAGCTCATTGTCAGTATTATCCTCAGACTCTATTCTGCAATCATTGCAACTCATTCTGGTTGATCAAATACAGTATAGTGGCACAATAATTAAAATAAGGTAATATTAAGAGTATTATAAATTATTATTTTAGCCCATTTGCCGAGATGTGGAGAACAGCGCCTCAAATAGTTTATTTTAAATCGGACACATCTGTCCCATTACATTTACGTAAACTGAATCACGTGATCAAAGATTTACTACATCTCAGTTGCATCCGATGTGGATTCTTAAACGCGGCATATACTGTGAAATTTCTGTTTCATGACGTTTGGGGTTGCAAAGCTGTATCGTAGATGTTGGACTTATTAAAAAATAAAGTATTCCTCGGACTTATAATTTTTTATTAATACATTTATTTTAATGAGATTGTACTTATACTGTCTTTCTTTTTTCACAGCTAAAGTTCTTCACAAAATGATGGACAGTGTTGTATCCTGGAATATGTAGCAGCCATCCAGCTACTTCATACATAATACAATTTTCATATACATTACATTTTTTAAATATTGGATTTGTATTATATATATTCTTTAATAAATTTATTTTTTGAATATTCTTGTTTTTTTTATCTAAAAACTGTTAGCCAAATTAAGATTTGTTCACACAAATTGCATTTTTGCTTTATTATAGCGAATATCGCTATAATAAAGCAAAAATGCAATTTGTGTGAACAAATCTTAATTTGGCTAACAGTTTTTAATGCGGATAATTTTTGCTGTCAAATTTGAATAGCCCCGCGCTTTTCTTCTTTTTATTATTTTCTCTTCTTTCATATGGACTCTTACCAGACAAGGACTTAATTGAAAAAAAATCAACCACGTCCACCAGGTGCCGCTAAAAACTCTATCATCCTTTTTTAACATGGGAGATACCGTTCTAAGAGTAAGTGTTCTGTGGATTTAATGTAGCTGACAACATCGCGAAGAGGTGCTTCTCTTATATCGGCCCGTGTTAGCCGATACTCGCCAAATACAAATCTTCTAAACAAGGAGAGCGCGCGTCGGGCAATCGCAGACGATATGCTTGATAGTCTTTTTGTTCGTACCCTCCTGCAGAGTTCGGATTCTGAGAGCCCCATGATATGGAGATGCTTCCGTACTTGGCAATGACAAGTCAGAATGCATGTGATCAGGCGCAAATTCTGTCTAGTTATAGTCAAGTATTTGTTTGATGTAGTGTTGTCAGAATAACTTAAAAGCACCCTCACAATTCTGCAGTTTCTTGTTTCATCCAATCTTTCCTTGAATTTCACATGGGAATGTTCTTTAATTAGGTCGGTCACTACCGATGTTGTCAGTCCAATAAAAGGGCCAGATCCAAAAAGAATTTGGTTAGCTGCCTTCTTTGCTAGTGAATCAGCAACACGGCTACCTTTCAATGTGGCGTGACCTTTCATCCCTCTTAAGGTGACCACATTGTTGATGGATAGTTCGGCCAAAGGTTCCGACCAGATCCGACATCAGGTTTTATTCCAATCATGCGAAGGCAAGCCATTGTCAGCAGAACAATCTCCTTGATGTAAATATCTAGAGAAGTTAGACTGAGAATTACTTCCATGGCTCTGGTTGGTGTGGTTTTTATGGCTCATGTTATATTGATTCTTGCTGTTCTTTGAATTAATTCTAGTTTGCAGATAACTGTTAATTTTTTAAGTTTTCGGTAACTAGACAACTGCACCGTATGTTAGCATAGGTCTTATGATAGCCGTATAAGTCCATGCGACGCGACGACTCTGGAGAAGAAACCCCAAGTGCGCCCCACAGTTGTTCATAAGCAATGTATGTTCTTTTGACTCTATTTTCTAAGTGTGAGTTTCATGTTAACTTGCTGTAATAGGTGAGACCTAGGTAGACCTGTTGCATAGTTTAGTTGTGTCTTTAGCATCTCTAAAGGTTTTAATTCCATTTTCTTTGTAAGAAGGACCATTTATGTCTTTTTGGGATTGACAGACAGTGAATAGTCCTTGCACCACTGTCCTATAATTTTGAGAATTACTTGCATTCTTTAGCAAAGTATGTTCTCAAAATTCCCTATTTGCCGAATGACTAGCATTGGGATTCTCATCTTTCAATACGGCACGTGTTGAGACGATTATCTTCGTTCCACAGAATGCGATTTGTATGTAATGTCTCTCTATTTGATTGGTTACGTGTTGAGTACGCACATAAGAATCCTTGACCAGGTCATTTATCTATGCTATTGTGTAGTGACTGTAATTATTGAAGCGGCTGATAAGGGTGTCGGGGACCATGTTTCACAGTAGAGGTGATAGGTCCCCCCTGTGGACATCCCCTTGCAACTAAGCCTCTTATATTCACATCTTCTAGATTTATGTTTACTGCTCGCTTGAAGAGCATGTTATGTATCCACCCACTGACCGTATGTGGAACATTTATATTGGTTAGTGAGTTTGTTAACTTGGGAAAGGTAGTTTTCTCACAAGCACCTTTCATGTCTATGAAAACATCCAAGGCAGACTCTTTATTGTTCAGGGATCTCTCCATCCGGCCAGAAACTAGGTGATGGGCTAAATCAGTGAGATGTATTCATGTTGATTTGGGTAAAGGGGTGTTGTTGTAATTACCACATCTCTTATGTACCTTTCGCATAACCTTTCCAATGTCTTCATGGCAAACGATGTCAGGTCAATTGGTCGGGATGTTTTTGGGACAGTGTAATCCATCCTTCCAGGTTTGAGTATAAATACTACTTTTACCTCTCTCCATTTTTTGGGCATATACCTCAGAGCTAATCAGGAACTGAGGATAACTACCAGGTGCGTAAGTTCTTCCAGATCCCACTACAGTAGGGCTGGATAGTTACCGTCAGGTCCTAGCGATTTAAATGGAGAGAAGCTAGATATTGTCCATCTAATTTTGTCATCTTCTACAATGTGTTTGGCAGCAAAAGTTTGATGCTATCTTCGAAGTTAGCAGTTATCATGCCATCCTCTTTGATTAGCGCAGTAATGCTGCGGTGTGGACCTCTCGAGAGAGCTTTTGAAGCCTCGCTACCTGCGGAAAATCTTCTATTTCTTCGCAGTAATATCTCCATGCAATTCTGTTTTTGTCTAATGATTTTTTTGTATTCTTTGTGGTGAAATTTGTAAGTATCCCAGTCCTCTGAGTTTTGTGGTGCTTGCCTTATTAAAGGATTTCTTAGCCACCTTCCTGATGTGATTCAACTCGTAACACCACTATGCTGTAGTCATCTGATCGTGTTGAACCAGCCTCAGTGGGCAGGATTTTTTATAGGCATTGTTTATCGTGCTTTGGATAGTATTGGAGTACTTTTCCAAAGCATTTATTGTTTGATGTTTCGGCCTCCAACTCTCTAAAACCCTCTTGGAAAAGATGGGCATAGGTTGTCCTGTCTGTTTTCCTAGGGTTCCGAGATAGTGTAGAGATCGGCAAAATTAAGTTTATTTTGAATGTTAACCAGCTGTAGTCTGACATCGAAATATTATTAGATACTTGCCAATTTAGAATTAATTTATAGATACTAGATACTATTGATGTTTGACTGCGAGAGTTTAAAAATGTTGGTGTAGTAGCTTTATTTAAATACAAAGATT